TGGCCCCGTCCTCGAACAAAAACGCGCAGGAAAACGCCATGCTCGAGCAAGGAGATCTCCTTGATAATAACCCCACATTTACGTTACCAGTGTTTTCCCTTTCCTAATTCTCTGTACAGTAGGTTATACTATTCAACTTTCGATCGCTGTACACCCATAACCCTTACATGAACAATATGTTACCCACCTTCATTTACAATAGTGAATGCAAGCTAAAAAGCCTATATTTAACGATAAGAGAGCGAAATCTGTCTAAAATAAAGCAGAATGACGTCATTAGAAAGGATGGAAATTCAGAAAAATTTGGACTGGGCCTGGCCCCGTCTAGCCCCGTCTGGCCCCGGGGCCATGTGTTGGCAGGGATGGGTTTCAAATGGAGTTTAGTTTCCTTCAGATTTCGACGAAGGGTTGCCTAAGGTCTCATGTCGAAAAAGCAAAACGAGACTTTAGTACAAATTTATAGTGATGATAGCCGCCGAAATTACGAGGAAATAAGGATGAGGCAATGTATGATGAAACAATTTCCGAAAGCTATCAATATTGGTGGACCAGACAGCACAGTTGAAGCTAAGCAATTTTTACTCAATAACTGAATGTAAGATTAAAAAACGGGTAAATGACAATTTCGTAGGTGGCAAAACAAAGCTGTGAGTAAATTTGTATTGGATAATAAGGCTATGTAGGATAAAATAGACAACCGTCTAGTTATCTGACTACTCAAAAAATCGACAATAAAAGCGGTCAGTGGAGACGGTTTATCGTCTAAAATATAATATTATTCAAAATTTTACGAGGAAAACCTTTCATATATGCGAGTAAAACTTAAGAGGAACGAGGCTATGTTGGGTGGAAAACTACGACACCTTACTTCCGCTTTATGATAAATCGACAAAACACGACGGGAAACTAAGGTGACTTATGACAAAAAATAGGAAATTTAGCCAGATCAACACTGGGAAATTGTGCAAAAAACTAAGAAATCGAATTAAAAAATATAAATTTCAACAGTCTTTTCAAAATCGTGCCGTGCTCATTGACCTTCAGTGGGATGAGAGCTCGAAATCTCAGAGGTCAGAGTGGATTCCTGGTGAGGGCCGGCGATTACCGAAACGAATGAGGCTTAGATCGTGCACGCCAACCTGGCCCCACTACTGCTCTGAGAGGATTAGTTAAGCAAGACATCGTTTTCTGTGGAGGACACGACGCAATGACTGAAGGGTCGAAAAAATCGAAATTTCTTATGAGGCATAGTAGAAAGCGAAACCACACACAGAGGAGGAAATTTGAGCGGATATGGTTATTTGGTGGCGGCGTCCAAAATTTCCAATGGCCTTTGTCTCAACGCCACAGAGAATGTTGTCCGGGAGATACGAGGCAAATAAAAGTTTAATGAAGTCACTATTCAGATGAGGGGGCAGCCTTCTCCTAAATGTTTGTAGATTATTTGATGATTTTATATCTATTGGAAGGTTTTTCCAGAGGAAGCGATGAAATGGGGTGTTTAGAGGTGGAGGAAGCGGAAGGAGGAAAAATCAAGGAAAGATTACGAAGATTATATGGGCGACTAACAGGGGTAAAGGCTGAAATCCGAGGAAGATTTGAGCTATTATTAATGAGAAGGAGGAGACAGACGCCTCCTTCTAGTCTCCGAAGCCACAGGAATTTTATGTTAATTAGCTGACATCCATCCGAGTAGGAACTATTTGGATGTGTCTTGCTTAAGAGTCTTCAAGTAAAATGTTTTTGAACATTTTCAATTTTAAATGACTTGCCCCGTTCATCAAAGCAAAGAATGAACAATAATACTCAAGAATGGGAAGTACAAACACTCGATAACGTCTTAAGTTAATTTCAGCAAGGTTGAAGTTGTAAGAAATTAAGCCACAAATCTGAGCAGCTTTGGTCGTAATTCTGTCGGCGTGTGGCAAGAGATCTAAATTATTGGAGTAGTTTAAACCTAAGCCCTTGATAGTGACACATTCAGCCATAGGTGTGTCTTGAAAGATCACTGGATGGGGTTACCTATCAGGTCCACAACACATATAGGGGCATTTAGATGGAGAGAATCCTAATAGACATTTTGAGCTCTAATCTGAGAAAGGAAGCAAGTCAGCATGGATTTGCTCCAGGCAACGTTGGGTGGGAGAGTCAGTGAATAAATGTGCGCATTTGAGGTCATCAGCATAGATTTGCGTGTAAGAAGTTTTCGGTCTATATCAGCCGGTAAAATGAAATTAATTAACTATAACGTCTCATGGGCTTTAAGTAGGCAGTCAGAGGTTACATATGTTAAACGCTTATCTACTAACAAATTCTCCAAACGACGTAGATGTATACGCTGCTTTGATGCTTTGTAGGGTACGAAGAGCACGGGATTTCTCCTATATACCTGTAGAGTTGTCCCTGATGCCAATCTACCCACTTGGTGTTTTAAGCACTATCTCTTTTATTTACTGCAATTCGATCGATAAACTGTTCCCTCTTTTGCAAGAATAATATTGATTACTCTAAAAATTTGAGCGAAATTTTTGTACTCGAATTTGCAGTTTTGCACTGGAAAGACAATATGGTGTACAATGCACATAGCATAATGTATATTGCCGATGGCGTAGAACGTCATGGCTTTCTAGACAACTACTGAGAAATGAACAAATTACGAGCACTCAAAGGTTGCCAGCAAAACGCAACAGAGTAGAATAGGTTTATTATAGCACCTCTTGCGCAGTCAGTCTCCGACTGCAGAATTTACGTAAAGAGCTCCGATTCAAAGCTATCGTGTGTATGTCAGATCTGAGGGGCAGTCGACGTTAACATCCGCCTAACTTGTACATAGAACCCATTTTCGACTGAACATTCAGATACGCTTGCAGCAATCTAGATGGCAGACGCTGCATGTAGTTCCCGTAACGAAGAACTAGAACAACATACGTCCTATTCGTCCTCCAATCAAGGATAGGAAGATATCGATCATTTCGTAAAAATGACAGGCATGGCCTCGATAACTCTGGGGTAGGGTGATTGATGAGAATTTGGTGCTCCAGTGGCAATTATTTTGTAGCTTTATGAGTTGCCATTTTTATTTCGCCTTTTTAATAGAAAGTACTGGTTACGAGTCAAAGACATCTGTGGCGTAAAATCTAAAGCCCGCATATCAGAAAAGACTGTTTGTCGTGCTATTGACTTTACTGTAAATCAGTAAGAGCGCAGCAGGACGGTAATTCCTTGTTCCAAGTAAATGGACCGTTTCCATAAGAGAACACCTTCCACTAGTTAACTGGATTTTTGATTACTTTCTGCTGTTTGTCCGTTGACTTGTATATGATACAATATTTGTCGACTCTTCAAATCAGACGGCAGGTAAGACAGATGAAGAAGCCTTTACTGGGTCAGGGGGCGTACACGCAGATAAGTAAGCAGTAGCAGCCAAAGTTCTCACCAGGCAAGTGTCAGCCGAAACGCATGAGCCCGGAATTCGTCCGGCTGCGGTCGAACCGTGAAGAGAAAAATATCGATTCGCGTCACGGCATTGCAAGCCGAAGCTTGAGCCACGCATGTTAGGCGGATCGAAATTGACACGGGTAAGCGGCGGCGCTGACGAATGGGGGAGAGCGAGCAGCTACAGTACCCTCCATCCAGACCAAAGGCGGTGTAAAAGCTACGCCGAAGTAAGGTCCAAATATGTGACTGGTAAGGCGGTCTGGAAAGTACCTGAGATAACCGCTACGAGCGATGCCAATACCTGTGGTACTGGAATGTTTGCGGTCAGGGATGGTGGGGAAAATGTGACAGAATCTTGAGTGTTCATATTATGTCAAAGTACCTAACTGTCAAGAGGTGCGACGTTCCCCAAATCACAAGTCAGGGGAGACTAAATTACCGAACAAAGTTTTCTTGAGGCGAAATAGAGTACAAGCGGCTCAGCGAGCAGTTCCGGCCAGCCGCCTCTTCAGGCGTGTTAGTGTGTCAGTGTCCGCTGCTAGGTCTAAAGGTCTGCAAGCGTGTGCTATGTCAGTATAAGCAAACCATGGCCCTCGCAGCCTGATATGCGCTGGCAGTTCCCTGACACCTGGCTCCCTGCCAGTAGATGTGCTTGCGTCCCCTCTGGGTATACAGATGGTGGGCATGGCTGCCTAGTCATTTCCGTCCTTCTGACTCTGTTGGGATGTTGCTGTTGGTTAAAATCCTTGTCAAGTGTATGTTGTAAACCAGGGGATGTGGTGGCACGCCCAGGTGCGGGTCCGGCCGCGCCAGCCACCTGCGCCCTCCACCGTCCCCGTTCCTCTTGACAATGTCCTGACACCGGGACCAGGTGGGGAGTGGGAAGGAAGAGCGCCGTAGATGCTGCGCAAGTCTACTATCACTATAAACTAATTCGCGCGCAAGTCGCCGTGCCTGCTGCACCTAGCTGTGTATCACACGGTGGACATCGTCGGAATCGACCGTCGAACTGTCGTGTGTGTGCGTATGTGTGCCCCGGGGTGAAGGGGTGTCTAGCGGCGGGTTCACGTGACGGTCGTAGTAGGTCGCTCACTTGTTTGTAGGTGCAGACTACGCCTAGAGTCCATCTGCTGGCACCCAACTCTCACATGTGTCTCCCCAAAACTAGGCTCTGCCTAGCAGCCACACCCCGGTCACCGCCTCGACCGGCGGGCTAAACCAGGTGAGGGTATCCGTGTGTTCATCTGCGCGAACGGTAATGCGGACTCCGCTGGCCAGATGGATCTTCGCATTGGCGTCGTTGAGACGAGGCTCCGTCTGGTACATCGCTGGAGACCACAAGCTTACGGCGATGTCGTTGGCTGTCCCAGGCTAACTCGGGTCGTTCTTCCACCTAACAAAAACGCGGCACATAGTTGAGTTCGGCAGCCGCCTGATATAACTCAGCAGCCCTATTTAGGGATAGCACTGCTCATCCCCGTGAGGGGGAAGGGGCTAGAAAAGGTGTCCAAAACGAATGCTGGGGAACCACGCTGTCTGCAGGAATGACCGTGGTCACACACATGGAACTCCCGGTCGAAACACTCAAAATCGAAGTAACACTCTCACTCCTCCTCCTCCTTCTCCCCATCGCCCCACATGCCAGACTGGAAGGGTAAGTCCGCTCACTCTGGCAGTCTGGAATGTTCGTTCCCTTTTAGACAATCCGAGGAGCAACCGCCCGGAACGGAAGACAGTGCTAGTGGCCCGGGACATAGCAGCACTCTGCGAGACCCGGTTTTACGAATAAGGCCAACTGGCGTAGGTGGGTGCCGGCTACACCTCAATCTAGAGCTGTCGCCCCAAGGTAGAGCAACGGGACATGGGTGTCGCCTTTGCCATCCAGAATGACATCGTGAGACGCCTGCCTTGTCAGCCGCAGGGCATCAACGATCGCCTGATGAGCCTCGCCTGCCTCTTCGGGGAGACAACATCATCAGCGTCTGCGCTCCCCCAATGACCAGCCCCGACGTCGCAAGGGCCAAATTCTACGAGGACCTGCATGCCCTCCCGAGGACTGTGTCGAAGGCTAATAAGTTGATTGTCCTTGGTGACTTCAACCCGCGCGTCGGCACAGACCGTGCTGACTGGGGAGGAGTGCTGGGTCCCCGTGATCCTAACGGCCTCAATGACAACGGCCTGCTCCGTCTACGAATCTGCGGCTAACACTGGCTCATCCTGACGAAAATGTTCTTCCGCCTCCCGATGCGACAGAAGGCCATCTGGATGCATCCTCGGTCGCGTCAGTGGCACCTGCTGGATTATGTCCTCGTCCGTAGGCGAGACTGGCGAGACATGCCGACGACAAGGACGATCCCCGGTACTGACGGGTGGACCGGCCATCGCCTCGCATTCTTGAATATGAGGATTCGCCTACAGCCTCGGAGGAGACCTCAAGGTAAGCGAGCCCCAGGCAAACTGAATGTTGCCTTGTTGTCTTTGCCTGCCCACCATCTCCGTTTTAGCAACGAGCTTGCGCAACTGGTGGACGACCTACCAATCATTTATGTCACCACCGCTGACGAGAACGCCTCCGTGGAGGAACGATGGTGTCAACTGCGGGACACATTCTAGTCGACAGTCCTGGCCGTGCACAGTCGCGCAGGTCGCCAGCATCAGGACTGGTTTGATGACAACGTCGCCGCCATCAGCAACCTGCTCGCCGGGAAGAACCGCCCTCTTAAAACCTATGTCACCCGCCCCACCGACGACAAGAAAGCAGCCTTCTACCGTAGTCGCCACCTTGTGCAACAGCGGCTGCGAGAGATGCAGGACGCCTGGACGGATCGCAGGGCTGGGGAGATCCAAAGATACGCGGGCCGAAACGAATGAAAGAATTTCTTCTCTGCAATCAAAACCATCTACGGTCCGCCGACCAAAGGTACTGCACCTCTTCTCATCGCTGACGGCGGTACCCTACTCATTGAGAAGATAAAAATTCTACAGCGATGTGCCGAGCACTTCCGAGGCGTCCTCAACCGTCCCTCGCCCTCTCCGACGTCGCCATCGCCCGTCCGCCACGAGTGGAGACCAACGCCGAACTTGACCTTCTGCCTTCTCTCCACGAAGCCATCAGCGGCGTGCAGAAGCTCTCTAGCGGGAAAGCGCCCGGATCGGACGCGAGCCCTGCTGAGATCTGCAAGCACGGTGGTCCCCAACTCGTGAATCATTTGACGGCACTATTCCAGATGTGGCGTCAAGGAGAAGTTTCGCAAGACTTCAAGGACGCCGCAATCGTCCACCGTTATAAGCGGAAAGGAAACCGCCAGCTCTGCGACAACCACCGAGGCAGCTCCCTGCTGAACATCGCCGGGAAAATCTTCGTTTACATTCTTTTCAACCGTCTGAACAACAACCCGGAACAAGGTCTTCTGCCGAAAAGCCAATGCACCTCCGGCGTCATCGTGGGACCACGGACATAAGCTTCGCCGTCCGCCGAATTCAGGAGGAATTTCAGGAGATACGGACCCACCCGTACTCTACTTTCGCGCATTTAAAGAAAGCCTTCGGCAATGTGAATCGAGACGGACTGTAGAAAATCATGCGGAAGTCCGGCTGTCCCCAACGGTTCACTCAGATGGTGCGTCAGCTCCACGATGGCATGTTGATGCGCATCACGGACAATGGAGCAGTCTTAGAGGCATCCGCAGTGACCAACGGAGTGAAGAAAGGCTGCGTCCTCTCTTCCACCCTCTTCAGTCTTATGTTTTCTGCCATGCTGATAGACGCCCATCTTGACGAGCGCCCCGGGATCCGCATCGCCAACAGGACGGACGATCACCTCCACAACCAGCGGAGGATGCACTTCAAGTCGCGTGTATCCACAACCACCGTCCACGAGCTTCTCTTCGCCGACGACTGCGCTCTTAACGCCACCTCGGAAAGAGACATGCAAAAGAATATGGATCTCTTTGCCGCCGCCTGTGAGAACTTCGGCCTGGTTTTGAACACGGAGAAAATGGTTGTCATGCGCCAACCGCCACCCAACACAGCCCACAATGCGTCGCAAATCAGCGTGAACGGAACCCAACTGCGAGTGGCGGACAACTTTACGTATCTGGGCAGAACCAAAATCGATGACGAAGTTGCCCGCCACATTTCCAAAGCCAGCCAAGCCTTCGGCCGTCTGCAGAACACCGTCCGAGACCGTCACGGTCTCCATCGCAACACGAAGCTGAAGATGTACAAGGCCGTCATTCTGCTGTACGGAGCAGAGACCTATACGGTCTACAAGAAGCAGGCGCGGAGACTTCATCATTTCCATCTCAGCTGTCTTCGACGGATACTGAAGCTGCGGTGGCAGGACCGGATCCCCCAACACTGACGTACTGGAGTGGAAGGGAATCTTCAACAGCTACGCCATGCTGAGACAGCCGCAACTGCGTTGGGTCGGCCACCTCGTGCGGATGGACAACGAGCGACTACCCAAACGACTCTTCAGTGGAGACGTCGCCGCGGGTTTCCGTCGTCAAGGAGGTTAAATCCGTCGATACAAGGACACTCTGAAGACTTCCCTAAAGTGTCTGCAGATCAACCCGGCCAACTGCGAAGACCTCGCTCAAGACCGACCGGTCTGGACGAGGACAGTGAAGACAGACGGAGCGATCTAAGCCAACGCTCAACCGCCCCCAACGTATTCACGGTATCAGTGGACATTCCGGACGCCAATTGGACTTGTTGGACACTTTTGGACGAACTGCAGCGCTCGGACTGCACTAACCGTCGTCGCTCCGTCCACCTCTCCCCCGCCTCCTACGCCGTCAACTAACATTGGCCGCCCTCCCGAACCCCCACTGCCATCCCCTTCCTCCTCCTCCTCCTCCCCCACTGTCCCAACAACTGCCGTTGTGGCGTTTGCCACGCACATCAGCATTACACACAATCCTGACACACCAACACCACCCCCGCCGACACCACTGGTGAGGTCCTGATCCACACCTGTCCTCATTGCGACCGCACCTTCACCTCACACATTGGCCTGGTCGGTCGCTTGCGAATCCATCTCACAGAGACTGGCAAACTAGTGCCTGGGGCACCAACCTTCACCCGCCGCATTCGCTTCCACCGTCCACACTGCCCTCGCACATTCATGCACCACATGGACCTCTTCGGCGACATGCGTGTCCATGAAAATCTGCCGTAGACAACCGCCGGCTGCGCCACACCAACCCACCCTCCCTCACCAACATCTCATCACACATCAACATCACTCACCACAAGTACCCAAATGCCACCTCCTACGCAAGTCGGAAGTGTGCGTCTTGACTCCTTCTCCACGCGGCTCCCGGGTGCATGTGTGACTCCAGTCTGGGACTATCACGGCACGTCAAGCGCCGTGACTTGGAAGGTTGCTGACAGACGCCCCAACTCAGTGCACGCAGTTCGTTCAGTTGTGTGCATGTTGTGCGGAGTGGCGGACTGGTGGGCTGAGAGCCAGGCCGAAACAGCCCAACATGACCAACAGCACTCTCACACGTATGAGGTGTACGCCGCTCAAACCCCGTTGTGTGAAATCCTGGTGCTTGTGTTTGGGGGGCCAGGTCGTGCGTGTGGTGCGCGCAGACAAGGTCACTAGATTGGGAATCTTTATCTTGTCGACCAGTCGACTTTCGACACGGCTTCGGTCGTGCCAGATTCCATCCCTTCGTCGTTGTTGGTTAAAATCCTGGTGCTTTGCTGTGTGGACCAAGGGGTGTGGTGGCACGCCTAGGTGCGGGCTCGACCGTGCCAGCCACCTGCGCCCTCCCCCGCCTCCGGTCTTATTGACTCTGTCTTGATACCGTGTCCAGGTGGGTGAGGAGGAAAGCATGCGGTAGATTGTGTGCAAGTCTACTATCACTATAAACTAATTCATACACAAGTCACCGTCCCTGCTCACACCTTGATGTGGGGCACACAGTGGACATCGTCGCCAATGGCGGTCGAGCTGTCGTGTCCGCTGCTGATACTCTTTGCCCCGTGCATGTCGCTGTCGCCTACAGCCAATCAGAGAATGACGCAGCCTGATTGGCTTCGCCCCCCAGCGAGCATACTGCCAAGTCTCGCGCGGACTCTAACAGTGATTTGCAGGGAATATGGGGCGGACGGAAAGGCGGATTTTCGCGTGTTGGGTGCGTCTTCGCAAATCCCATTGACGCACGTGACCGTTCAATAGCCCAAGAAATTTTGCCGACTCCGCAAGGGCCCACTACTTTGCTGGGCATCCTATCTGGATCAGCTGAAGTTGGCACTCAGAGAGAGAGAGAGGGAGAGAGAGAGAGGAATGCTTTATTTTGAAAATAACTTTCAAAACTTTCAGCAAAAACGGTTCTCCAGTACACAGTGATTACCATAGGGATTAACAGGTATTGGACAGGTGGACATTATTATATATGAAGAAAAAAGGACTTTAAGGTGCATGATCGAGTTTTAGTTTTTGTTTTTCAACATCTTTGCAGGTGAGATACCGGGCTAGAAATGGCAGTATGGAATTCCGATAGGCCGAAGTGCGGCAACGGATGTGGCGGAAGCATCGACGCATGGGGCGTAAGGATTTCGCAGCCATTAACTCACTATGAGGGGGATGGACGGTGTCATTCAGAATTCGGTCAGCGAGTTGCTCCACCGAGTTGAAGTGTCGCTGCACGATGATATCAACTAAAATATGATAGGAACCACCAGCAGCAGAGGCGAGCATTCGAATGACACGTTTAAAAATAATTAGATCTTTTTTAAGTAAAGCTGGAAAAATAACTGGAGAACAATAAAGAATGAGTGGAAGGATACAGCCATCTATGAATCGCCAGATTAAGGACTGGGGTGTGTGATATGAACGTAGACGACGAATGTAATAAGCAAGTTTTTGAATTTTTGTTAAAAGGGTTTCCATATGAAGAGAGAAAGAGAGATTTGAGGATAAAGTAACACCTAGGTACCGGAAAGAAGATACCTCATTGGGAAGAATATCTAAAGGTTCAGGAATGGGAGAGGGTCGCAATCGAAACACACACTGTACTGATTTCTGATTGTTGAGTAGGAGTCCATTATTCGAAGACCATGCGGAGACGTGATCTAAGCCATCCTTTAAAGACCGAAAATGAGTCAGGTTTTTGAGTGGGTGGCATACGACCATGTCATCGGCATACTTAACACACAGGCAGTCGTTTGGCGATCTCAAATCATCAGTATGTAGGGAGAAAAGATGAGGGGATAAGATGGAACCTTGTAGAACTCCACAATTATTTGGAAGAATAGAAGATTTTCTCTTTCCCGACTGGACAAACTGAGTGCGGGAGGAAAAATAATCTCTAAGCCAAGAGACAACCCAGCTCGGAGTGTCGCACGCAGCTGCTTTGGTCAGGAGGAGTTGGCGCGGAATAGTGTTGAAGGCGGATGAGTAGTCGAGAAAAGCACATGCATATGCACGGCATCCCTTGTCTAAGTCTCTCAAAGCTGAATGAACAACTAAAGCAACAGCATCCAAGGTGCTACGCTTTGCCTTGTATGCAAATTGTAGAGGATCAGAAAAATTGACGGAGGAGTACTTAAGGGAATCTAATGCAACTCGTTCAGTAAGTTTCAGGAATGCAGAAGAGCAGGCAATAGGACGGAAAGATTTAGGAGCAAAAGATAAAGATTTTTTAGGGATTGGAGTAATTCTTACTGTACGCCAGGCGTCAGGAATCTTGGACTCTATGAAGGATAGATTAATAAGGTGGGTCAAGACGGGAGCTATCTGCGAACAGCAAGACTTGAGGAGAAAAGAAGAGACACCGTCCGGCCCAGCCGCCGTTGACCTGCGAATCTTTTTGAGATGTTATTCCACTGTTGTCACAGTCACAGGAGTAAAGTCACATGGTGGTAGGTAAATTTCGTTTGGGCGAGAAGGGGAGTCGTTAGAAGTACAGATAAAATTCCGATTTAAAGAGTTGGTGACTTTTGGTGGAAAAGAACTCATAAGATCGGACTGCAACGTAAATATCTTGTTTATGCTCAGGCCAGTAGCACATACTCCGAAGAATTTATCCAGTCTTATAAATACTTGTGTAACATTGTTACGTTTATATTATCCTTCCGATGTCTTTCAATAAGGAATGTGATAGGGTAGTTTTTTGGATATCATGTCATCGCCGCTAAAATAGGCCAGTTTTGGTTAAGACTCAAAGGGGATTATATATACCTGGTATCGTTAACATAACCGTCTAATTCAAGCCTACCCATTTGCAGTACCGGCAGGGAGGATCATCATAAGTAAAATGGTCAGGTACTTCTCCAGCATAGCAGGTTACTCTTGAGCGCGTTTAATTCTTCCTGGCGAATGTCGGAAAGACATCAAAAGCGAACTTGATAGGCCCGGAGTCTAGTGACACTGCCTTGTCGAGTCGAAATAACATTTATAAGGTCCTTGATTATCGTAGCCTTGGGGACCTGAGCTGGACAAACACGGGGACTAGACTGGGGTCCGGCAGGCGTTATTTGGAGTGCACACTAACAACAAATGCCAACACTGGGGGGGTTGGCGACAGGCCTCGGTGTAGGCTCACACTGAGCCAGTTCGGATCCGAGCCGTGCCCCCTTTTTTCTGGTTGTGTAAAGTCTTGGCCAGTGTACATTGTTGCCCAGAGTTTGTGGTCGTATGCCTGGATGCGCCCTCTTCAACCTCCGTTATTCTTGACTCTGTGATAAAACCGGATCCAGGTTGGGGGAGGAGGAGGAGGAGGGAATACGGTAGATGCTACGTAAATCTTCTGTCAGTATATGCGAATTCACGCGCAAGTTAACGATCCTACTCTCACCCTGTTGTGGAACGCACGATGGACATCGTCAGAATCGATGGTCAAACTGTTGCTAACATACAAGGGAATTAGGGTAGCTGGCTTAAAAACAGAATATTAACGATGATTCCACTTATTAGGCGTCAGTGAAGGTCGGACAAGCGTCCATGTTTGTTCGAAAAATCAACATCTAAGGTAAAATCTCGAATTACACTCTCAGGAAATCACAACAACCAGCAATACATGAAATAAGGAGTCCCGACAGAGACAAGGGGGACTGGAATGACTACCTTCGCCTCGTTAGTCGTTGTCAGTTAGCCCTACCCAAACCCTAGGTTTTGTTGCACCTGAGACTCGGACCTGCGTCCTTTGCCCATTAAGCGTTATTACGTTGGGTCATGGGTCCTTTACCCTGACGGTTGCGACTGGGAATACTAACATATATTGGAAGTACGTTCGCCGATCGGGTTTGGATAAGGCTAACTAACGACGGCTGATAAGCGAAAGGGGTCTTGTCTTTGACAGACCTCCTTTTAACGTATGCTCCTGGTTGTTACAAGACTACCTGCGA